CTGCACGGCAACGCGCGCCCGTCTCTCGCGTCGCACCGCGGACTCGGCGGGCGCAGGATGCCGCACACCACGACGGACCGCAATCCAAGGGCGCCCTCGACCCCCCAACGTCACACCCGCCGCCTCCGCAAGCGGAACTTTGTGGCGCGTGCCGTATCAGAGACCGGCCGCGTGGCGGTTGGGGCAAATAAACCGCCGCCTATCCTCAAAGCACGGCTCACCCGGCGTGCCGTAGGTGTGGAGCATGGCGTGCCCCGTCGCACTGCCGTCAGGCGCACCATCTTCTCGTAGCGCACAAACCCCGTCGTCGGCAGCAGTCTCCCGCCACCCTCCTGTGACCCAACAAAGTGTCTCACCAAAAGCTTTCTTGCGACGCCCGCGGAGCCAATGATGAAAATCCTCAGCGGGCTAGAAAAAATAGTGCGGGTGGCGGAGAAGGAGGGGAGCCCGCGACATCGCACCATCTCCTTCCGACAAACAAAGTCCAGAAGCTGCGTAAATCTGTACTGCGCATGCAGCGAAATGACGCGCTCCGAGGCGCCCGTCAAAGACGTGTTGCCAAAGCCGGCCCCAAACGTCTGCAGAGGTTCCTTCTGCCGCTGAAGAAAGCGCCTGCAGAACGAACGCATAGAACTATGCTGCCTCTCCTCCTGTTGGCGCTCAGCCATATCATACTGGCACCAAATCGCGTTGCCTCTTAACATGAGGTAAAGGTCGGCGGGCACACGCGAGGCCCCAGCAGGACATGCGTGCTCAAGTCAAGAGCGCCCTGACAAGAAGCGGCCGCCGACACATTTTTATAGTTCGCCGCGGCACCTCGCCACTCTCATCGCGACGCGGCACAACAAGCTGGATTTCGTAGTAGCACGCAGAGCAAATACGATGCGTCGTGGCTGCTGCCACTTCTGGAAGTGCAGCAGTTGCGGCTGAGAATGGCACAGGCGGAAAGAGCCCGAACTGCTGGGGTCCCCTCCCGCAGGCGTGCCACCGGCGAGATTCAGCCCAGCTGCGTGGGGCGCAGTGAACTCCACACCCTCCATCCAAGAAGGTGTACGATACGCGCGCGGGGCATTGCGGGGTGCTGCGGGGCGTGGTGGTGAGTTCCCTAGCGCCCCGCAATCTCTGTTTAACCGGAGGAGCAAAGAGGCCGGTGCCGGAATGCCCTCCGCGGCCCAGTCGGTAAATCCGCACGGCTCTTAACCGTGTGCTCGGGGGTTCGGTCCCCGCGGGGATGCTTTCCCCCTCGTCTTCCGCCGCCGTCGTGCATTTCTGTCGCCCCGAATGCTGGGCGGCAAAACAGGGCCGCGCGAGAAGGACGCTGAAGCGCCAGCCGGGCGTCCCGCATCGGCGGCTGTGGGACCTCCGCGCTTATACTCCGCGCCCCCCCCTCTCCCCGGCAAACGGTCGGTAAAAAGAACGGAGAATGTGCTGCCTAAGAGAATCCTTCCCCCTTCTCCCGAAGAACAAACAAATAATAATAAAAGGAAGCTCGCAGCTTTCAGCCCTGCGCGCGTCCAACTTTCCCCGCGCATTGTGGGGGTCGTCCGCCACACACGCACTCGTGAAAAAAACACATTAAGAAAAACGTATTGCGATTGCCGGGCCGCGGGAGCCTCGAATAGTGGCAGTTTGTCCGGGGCGCCACAACCGCCGCACCCCCTGCTTGCGTGGGTGGTGAGGGCCAGGGCTGGAATGAAAAAAAAAAAAACTGCACTCGCTCTCCTCAAACGCAGGGCGGCCTCGACAACAAAAGGCATTTAGCCAAACAAGAAT